GTCGAGGGGCACATTTTGATTGAGAAAAAAAACAGTATGGGGGATCAACAATAGTTCTTTCCAGAAATGGGAGTCCAACAACAACAACAAAAACAGCAATAACAAACAACAACAACAACAACAACAACAACAACAACAATCATTTTACCCGAACGCTCAGTGTTCTCACCAGTGCCAGGGTTTTCATGCGACGCGAGACAATACCCCCACTTCGTGGGGGGGCAGTTCAAGCTCTACCAAATATCCAAACGACTCTTCGCGACCACCCAAACCCAGCTTCCCGCCCTATGACGTTGGGACACTTCACTTCGTGGCGTGCGGACGACCGTGGCTACTACACTGGCGTGGGGTACACACCCACAGAACTTGGTCACTTATTCGGGGCGCGCGTGTGCCCAGCATCCTGCAATTGTGACATACAATACATGACACAGACAGACAGAGAGAGAGACAGAGAGCAGACAGAGAGAGAGACAGAGAGAGCGGAGTTGGTCACATTTTTGGGGCAAGTTCCTGAGATCGTCGTGTTTTTTGTTGGTCTTGCGCGCGCGAATGTCCACTTTACTTTTTTTTTGCAAGGGATGTTGAAATTTGATTATGTAAGAACAAGAAAAAGTAGCTCGCGCGAGCTTATGTAACATAAATGTTGAAAAACCATTGGTTTTGTGGGAGTCGGACAGCGCGCGCGGGATGAAATTTGGACATTTTTTTTTGAAAAACCATTGGCTTTTTGATGTTTTTATGTTGAAATCGTTACGAAACCTAAGGTTCTGGAAGGATTTCGTCTTGCGCGCGCGAATGTCCACTTTACCTTATTTTTTGCAAGGGATTATTGAAATTTGATTATGTTAGAACAAGAAAAAGTAGCTCGCGCGAGCTCATGTAACATAAATGTTGAAAAACCATTGGTTTTGTAGGATTCGGACAGCGCGCGCGGAAGGACATTTTGACAATTTTTTCTTAAAAAACCATTGGGTTTTTGATGTTTTTATGTTAAAATCGCTACGAAACCTAAGGTTTTGGAAGGATTTCGTCTTGCGCGCACGAATGTCCACTTTACCTTATTTTTTGCAAGGGATTCTTGCAATTTGATCAACTAAGAACAAGAATTTTCATTTTCTATTGTTTTTTGCAAGGGAAAACGAGCGTCAACAAAAAACCGGATCCGGTACCAATCGTTTTGCCTGAGACTTCCTCACGAAAATGATGAAAATGTGGCTGCGGCCTAGGCGCGGCGGGGGGGTCGCGCACCAGGGGTCCCAACAATAATTATTCTTAAGAAGAAATAATGTTCAAACAACAACAACAACAATCATTTTACCCGAACGCGTGGTGTTCTCCCCAGTGCCAGGGTTTTCATACGACACCAGGCAATACCCCCACTTCGTGGGGGGGCATTACAAGCTCTACCAAATATCCAAACGACTCTTCGCGACCACCCAAACCCAGCTTCCCGCCCTATGACGTTGGGACACTTCACTTCGTGGCGTGCGGACGACCGTGGCTACTACACTGGCGTGGGGTACACACCCACAGAACTTGGTCACTTATTCGGGGCGCGCGTGTGCCCAGCATCCTGCAATTGTGACATACAATACATGACACAGACAGACAGAGAGAGAGACAGAGAGCAGACAGAGAGAGAGACAGAGAGAGCGGAGTTGGTCACATTTTTGGGGCAAGTTCCTGAGATCGTCGTGTTTTTTGTTGGTCTTGCGCGCGCGAATGTCCACTTTACTTTTTTTTTTGCAAGGGAGTATTGAAATTTGATTATGTTAGAACAAGAAAAAGTAGCTCGCGCGAGCTCATGTAACATAAATGTTGAAAAACCAGAGTCGGACAGCGCGCGCGGAATGAAATTTGGACATTTTTTTTTGAAAAACCAGTGGGTTTTTTGATGTTTTTATGTTGAAATCGTTACGAAACCTAAGGTTCTGGAAGGATTTCGTCTTGCGCGCGCGAATGTCCACTTTACCTTATTTTTTGCAAGGGATTATTGAAATTTGATTATGTTAGAACAAGAAAAAGTAGCTCGCGCGAGCTCATGTAACATAAATGTTGAAAAACCATTGGTTTTGTGGGATTCGGACAGCGCGCGCGGAAGGACATTTTGACAATTTTTTCTTAAAAAACCATTGGGTTTTTGATGTTTTTATGTTAAAATCGTTACGAAACCTAAGGTTTTGGAAGGATTTCGTCTTGCGCGCACGAATGTCCACTTTACCTTATTTTTTGCAAGGGATTCTTGCAATTTGATCAAGTAAGAACAAGAATTTTCATTTTATAGTGTTTTTTGCAAGGGAAAACGGAGTACAACAAAACAACCGGATCCGGTAATAATTCACTTTTCTGAAGCTTTCGCTAAAAAATGATGAAAATGTAGCTGCGGCCTAGGTTTTGGAGGGGGGTCGCGCACCAGGGGCCCCAACAATAATTATTCTTTAGAAGTAATAATGTTCAACAACAACAACAACAACAACAACAACAGCAATGCGCAATCAACAAAACGACGGGCGGGCGGCCCTTCCCCGGACCCGCGAGGGTGCCTCTCTGTCGGTGCAGGCGCTGCTCGTTGGGGCCCGGCCGTCGGGAGCAGCTGTCCGAGGCATCGCCGTGTTCGCCTTTCTATTCCTCTTCTTTTTTTCCCCTTCTCCTCCGCCGCCTCCTCCTCCTCCTCCTCCTCCTCCTCCTCCTCCTCCTCCTCCTCCTCCTCCTCCTCCTCCCCCTCCTCCTCATCCTCCTCATCCCCCATCCTCACTCAGGCCTTTGGCCGCTCGTTCCCTGGTGCTGCTCGATCTGTTTGTTCTCTCGTGTCCTCTTTCGTGGGACGCGCCGGCCTCCAGGTTCCCCTCCCCCTCCTGTCGGGCAGCGCCGAGAAGTCCGCGCGCCTCCAAAACTGTGCCAGCGAGTTGCAAGCTGAGCGTCGAGTTTGTCGACGCCTTCAGCAAGGCCGATACCTACAGTGAAGTTGAGGGCCCCTTTTTGGAGCGAAGTATTTGTGTAGACAGCGCAGCGCTCTCAAAGGGGGCAATATCACGAGTTCGTGTTCGACCTCCCGCAGTGCGTTTGCCTGTCGGGCCGTCGCGACGGATCGCCTGACGAGGAGCCGCGCAAACGAATGATTTTTTCGTCGGTCTACTTCAAGGCGTTCAGTCCGAGTATTGTATGCTGATTAAACAGCCGATTCGGCCTCCCCCCTAGCGTACATGCCATTGCCACGCCCATGAAGCGCGCAGCTTTGATGGCGGGATCGTTGACCAGAAAGGGACAGGATATCACGGTCGACGAGGCCAAGGGCACGCACCGGTGACTGCAAGCGTCAGCAACGCGTTGCAGATCGCAGCGACAAGCTTGACGCGGTGCAGTTAGGGATGCTCGCCACCATGATCAAACGAATCGCACATGCTCTGTGCTTTGGGCCACCTCTACTTGGAGGGGTATTGGTGTCTCGTGGCACGACCAAAGATGCAGGGCAGGGCCGTTGTATGAGGGCCATTGGGCGATTTCTCTCTTCTGCCCAGGTTCATCCACTGCGCTCTCGTGCGTTGCCTCGGGGTTCCAGGCACCGCAGGCCTCGTGCATCGCAGCATGTGCGAAACCGAGAAGGCCTCGAGGGCCAGGCAGCTGCACGTGGTCGGGATGGCGCGACCGTCGGCAGAGCGACGGCCAGAGCGGCGCGACGCTCGCCACCTAGCGCACGTCGGAAGCCGTGGGTGGATGATGAGGTCAGCGCGTCCACCGAGCAGCGCATCCACAGTGGTGTTGTCTAGCGCGCCAGCGCAGCCACGCCATGGCAGGCAGTGGCTGGAGGTGTGCGTCGAAGGCCTTCTCCCCGCCCTCAATACATGGGGAGACCCATGCCAAGGAACACCCTGCTTGCCTCCAGGGTGCCATGGGTGTCTTGGGTTTCGAGGGTTTTTCTATGGAGAAAGTGTGACGTTTCCGCACCCAAAATCCATGGACGTCCTGGGGTCTCAGGCTTAGGTTTCTTGTGGAAGGTTTCTTGTGGACTGGCCTCCACTGTATCCTCACTGCGATCATCCCCCTCCTTCTCCTGCTCCTCCTCTTCCTTCTTCTCCTGCTCCTTCTCTTCCTCCCCCCCGTTTCCTCCTCTTCAGAATTGTCATCATATTCCTTCCCTTCCTCTTCCTCCTCCTCCTCCTCCTCCTCCTCCTCCTCCAACCCCTACCTCTCCGCCGCCTCACCCTCACCATCCTCACCATCACCATTATCCTTCTTGCGCCCCTCCCTCTCCCCCTCCCCCCCTGCTACTCCGCCTCGTTATCCTCGCCATCCTCACTACCAACATCGTCCTTATTACCCCCCTCCTCTTCGTCTCCCCCATCCCCTCCTCCTCCTCCTCCTCCTCCTTCTCCTCCTCCTCCTCCTCCTCGTCCTCCTCCTCCTCCTCCTCCTCCTCCTCCTCCTCCCCCACCCTCCTCCCCCTCCCCCTCCGCCTCCTCCTCCTCCTCCTCTTCCACCTCCTCCTCCTCCTTCTCCTCCTCCTCCTCCTCCTCCTCCTCCTCTTGGAAAGGCCTGCAAAGGCGGGCTTTCCTCGGCCCACCTGTGGAGCAACAAGCAGAATCCGCAGAGGCATCCATCCCAACCACATGAGAGGGGATTTGCCACTTGATGAGCTGGTGTCTCTTGCCGATTTAGCCACCGCAGTGGACGGTGGCGGTCCCTCGGCTTCGACTGGTGGCGTGGAGGGTTCGCCTCTGGGGATCCCTTCCCTCTGGGGTTGGGCTCGCTGGAGGCTTTCCCTCTGCGCTGCTGGTCCTAGCCTCTGCGATGCGACGTGTCAAATCTGATCAAATCAAATCCTCCTCCTCATCCTCCTCGTCCTCCCCCTTCCCCCTCAAATCCCCCCACCCCCCTCCCCCTCCTCCCCCCTCCCTGTCGTTCCTCCTGCTCCCCCTCCTCTTCCCTCCCCCCTCAGATCCTCCCCCTCCTCCCCCTCCTCCCCCATCCCTCTCCCGCTCCTCCTGCTCCCCCGCAAGCGCCCGAGGAACGAGTTGGCGCAGGAGTGGAAGCGAAATACTTTCTACGTCCTGCCGCACAAAGTGACCGGGCGGGCCCTCGCCTGCCTCCGGAGGGGGGGGGGGAGGAAGTCAGACGGAGCCCGGCGAGCGCCGGGAGCCACCGTTCGCGCCCTCGTCTTCCTCCTCTGCGTCGTCCTCTCCCTCGACGACGAGGGGGCAGAAGAGGAGGAGGAGGAGGAGGCGGAGGAGGAGGAGGCGGAGGAGGAGAAGGAGAAGGAGGAGGGAGAGGGGGAGGGGGAGGGGGAGGGGAATGTGGAGGGGGAGGGGGAGGGGAATGTGGAGGGGAGGAGGAGGACAACGACAACTTGACGGAGAAGCAGGAACCGCATATGTTCGGACGACGGCGACGACGACGACGACGAGGACGAGAGAGCAGGGAGTAGAGATGAACGGGTGGAGTAAGAAGAGGTGGAGGAAGGGGAGGGGGATAAGGTGACGATGAGAGGGGGGGGATGAAGGGAGAGAAGGGTAGGGGGAAGGAGTGGAGAGGAGGGGAGGGAAGGAGAGCGACCAGAGTGACCCCAAGATGCGTCAACATTGCTACAACGCGCCCTCTCATCCCAAGTCCCCTCCTGATTTGTCCATGCAGGCTCTTTGCTTCGCTGCGCGATGCAACCCCCCCCCTTGAAGACGAGCGGCCCGTGGGCCCAGAATTCGCGCGGGGGCTCCGTTAAAAAAAACGCCTTCCGTCCCTCGATCTGTGCGGGCTGCGACAAGTGCCCAGCCGCAGCCCCGCTCTGCAGTGGAGTCGCCATCCGCGCGTGCATTTGTTGCATTTATGTATATATATATACACATATATGTTTACGTATGTGCCTATACATATAGAGATATACACAGATATGGCAATGAGATGCAAGCGGTCTCAGGCGAGAGCCCCACTTCGAAAAGGAGCCGCCCGTGTATTTGTTCCAGAGTTTGCGCTCGCGGCATGTGTCGGGTGAGTCTCAAGCAAGAGCCACGTTTAGAAAACGAGCGGCCCTCCATTCATAGTATTGCTGGAAAATTTGGCGGCGAGTGTGCGCGGCGCGAAGGCGGGCGCCACAGTTTGAACCGGTCTGCCGTGTATCCGTGTGGCGCTCAGACTTATTTTCAGACAGGTGCGCGAAGTGCGAAGGCCAGAGCCACATGTTGAAACCGATTGGCCATCCACCCTTGTAACCGTTGGACGCTGTACGCTTCGGGATACCGAATGGGAGCGAAGTCTCAGGCGAAACACGCCTGGATGCGCGACGGGGGGGAGTTGTTGACAGGAAGAGGGATGGACGGCGCGCCGAGGCAGATGATCCAGGTGAACGAGCTCGACGACGCGGAGTACAACGAGCGACTCGAGACGGCCACCTACGACAAGACGAGGACGCCCCAGATCGGTGCCAGCCTCTGTTTCGAGCACGCCCCAGCATACATGGAAGGGCGGGCGGAGGATAACGAGGCGCAGGGCGACGGGAGGTGGAGAAGGCGGTGGGGATGGGAGGGGGGAGAGAGTGGAGAGGAGTGCACAAGAGGGCGCGGGTGAGAGGCCTCCTCCTCCTCCTCCTCTTCCTCCTCCTCTTCCTCCTCCTCCTCCTGCTCCTCCTCCTCCTCCTCCTCCTCCTCCTCCTCCTCCCCCTCCGCCTCCCCCGCCTTTTCCACATTCTCCTGCTGCTGGTGCCGCCCGTCGGCCTCCCCATCGTGCTGTGCGGCTCCACCTCATCCTCCTCATCTTCCTTGCTGCTGCTCCTCCACACCCTCACACCCTCCACGTCCTCACACCCTCCACGTCCTCGGCTTTTCCTCAGCATAGTCGGTTTGCCCGCGAGGGCCCGGTATTGCAGGTTGTGCTCCCCCTCGATGTGCTTCGCTGCGCTGTGGTCATCTGCGTGGTACCGTGTACGTTGAGCCATACGATGAAACCGCATACATTCTCCTTGCCGAGAAGAACAGACTCTACCACCCTCCTGAGCCCAGACTTCATGCGTCTCCTTGGGTTTAGCCTTGACTCACCTTGCCATTTTCCATCTGCAATGACACCATTCCAGCCATACGAGTATCGACACGCACCTCAGCCCTGCCAAAAGATTGCTGTATGCGCACACACACACACAAAAAATCTGAACATGCAGTGGTTGAAGATTTCTCTGCAACAATATACACAGGTCCACAGTCGCGCACACAATTCAACGGCATATCAAAGACATGAGTTGTGCACGCAGTTCAAAACAAGAAGCTTACACACACCCACTCGTTGGCGTTGCAGTGAACAGATTACAGGATTTCCACCTGCGCGCATTTGCTGCAATCATATTCATACACTATGGGTTTAGCAATCTCGTCCAGAACCCGCATTCTCATCTCACCGCGCGGTGCATCCGCGTTGATCTAGCTTCCGCACATCCAATACTCCGTATCAAATAATAACATGCGGGCCGCAGGCATGCGCCGCCACGTGCGCGTGTCGAAGTCCGTCCAAAACCATTGGTTCTCCAAGCATCTGGACAGAGAGCGATGTGACCTCCGTTTCAAAAACACGTGTGTTTCAGTAGTACTGTTGCCAGGTGTCTTGAATTTCTGCGCGCGCTTCTTCATCACTATCATCAGCGCCATCGCATCACCGCTAGTATCGTGATCGCCAATCGCCGACGTTGCCGCCATCATCGCCTCAATCATCTACATCACCAGCACATGCTCATCATCATCGTCACCAGCATCGGCGCCGTCATGGGTTTTTCCGTCGTCATCGTCGTGGTCACCATCGCCACCACCACCACCACCACCACCACCACCACCACCACCACCACCATTAGCATCATCGTTGCTGCCATCGTCAGCGTCATCATGAAATCGCGCCTGTCCGAGTTACCAACCTGCACTGAAGTGCCCGCGCGCAAGCGCGGCCTTGGAGGCGCGCGTGGATGTTCCCATCGGTCATCGGGACCACGGCCGCACCAGCTGTGCCAAACCAGCTGGACGATCTGCGCGCGAACGTGCGCGCGCTAGTGCGCCGTAGAGCTAGCAGCTTCCAGTCGGGAACAGCAAAAGGCCGAGTGTGCTCTGCCAAATCAGATGCGGGTGGATGGGTGGCATGTTTGCACGAACAGAGGAATTGACGATTTCAAGCTGTGCAACGGTTAATTGCACCCAATCGTTCGCAAGACATGAAACATATGTGTTGCGCGATTTTGGGTGTCAAGCTACGCAGTGCCAAACACGCGGTGCACTCTCCGTGGTGCAATATTTGTGGCGCAGCACTTGTGGCGCAGTCGATGTGGGTCGACACATGTGGTGCAATCTATGTCGTGCAGCATTTGGGGTGCAAGCTACGCGGTGCGACCGAGAGGGCGTAAGCGCCTGTGTACGCCCTTACACGCGGGCCGCCAGCGCACGAGGAGCTCACCAGGCGCCTGCGAGCCGACAGCCTGGGAATTCCAGCGAATTGCGCAACACACAACCAGGACTCCTTTAGTGCAAGCGTGGTTTGTGGAATGATCCTGTCGTGTCTCTCCTTCCTTTTCCGTGTCCTCCTCCTCGTTTTGCTGCCTCTCTTTCCTCCAGTCCCCTACCGTGCTTCCTCCTGCCCGTATCCTCCTGATCCTCATCCTGCTGCAGCTGCTGCTCCTCAGATTCCTCTTGCTGGTGACGTTTCTCATCCACCTCTCCGCATCTCCCCCCGCAGGAACGTGTTCGACCGGGGGAACCACTCCAGCGTCGGATGGTTCTTCAATTGCGCGGCTTTCTGGCACGCGATCTGGGGGGGGAGAGCGGCAGAGGACTCCCGTCGGCGGCAATTTCGGTTCGATCGATCCGATTCCATACCGATTCCAGCCGGCTCGATTTTGACTTTTTGGCGATTCCATACCGATTCCAATTCCATGCCGATTCCATTTTGGTTCGATCGATCCGATTCGATTCCGACTTTCCGCGGTGGGTTATAGGTTTGGAACGAAAGGCCATATGGGGATTCACACATCTGCTTGTGGTGGCCGTTCTCTCGGCAGGGGCTCGCCCGTGGCAAGGGAGCCGGCGCGTTGTTCCAGGCCATCGAGCTGCTTGCGACGGCTCTCTTCTCCTCCTCCACTCCGCTCCTCCTCCTCCGTTCCATCCCCCCAGTGGTGTACTGGCCTATCTTGCCGCAGACTAGGCTGCGCACAGATTTTGCAACAGCCTGTGATTTTGCAACGTTTTGATGGCCGTATACTTCGCAGCATGTTCGTTGCATGGGCTTCTCGTTGCGCCTCCGGGCAAAAGACATATTTGAAACCCGTTTTGCGGCCTACGTGCTACGTGTTTGTTTTGTCTATTCTCCCTCGTCGTCGCCTTCCTTCTGCTTCCGCCTCCTGTGGGGTCCCAGGCTTGCTTGGCGCCGCGGTCTGCGGTAGAAAAGATGGTAGAGACGAAGGAGGAGGAGGAGGAAGAGGAGAAGGAGAAGGAAGAGCAAAAGGATGAGCACGACTCGGGATTAGCTAAAAGCGCGTAAGTTCCTACGTCTACAGTGTCTAAGGGTCATTGAAAACATGCAGGGGCCACTCACCCCAGTGGTTTACCTGTGGTGGGGCGAGGAGGCCTCCTCCCTCCTCCTCCGCCTCCTCCTCCTCCCCTCCTCCTCCCCCTCCTCCCCTCCTCCTCCTCCCCTCCTCCCCTCCTCCTCCTCCCCTCCTCCTCAGCCCTCCTCCCCTCCTCCCCTCCTCCTCCTCCCCTCCTCCTCTCCACATGCGGAGTGAACGACCTGCGGCAGCCGTGCGCAGGCCTTTGCAGTGTGCATTCGTTTTGACAGAGGCCATACCAGCACTGCCGGCCGTAACACTCACGACTGGCAAAAAGCGGATCATCCTCCTCCCCTCCTCCTCCTCCTCCTCCTCCTCCTCTTCCTTCTCCTCTCCTCCTCCTCCTCCCCCTCCTCCTCCCCTCCTCCTCCTGCTCCTCCTCCTCCTCTTCCTCCTCCTCCTCCTCCTCTTCCTCCCCCTCCCCCCTCCTCCTCCTCCTCCTCCTCCTCCTCTTCCTCCTCCTCCTCCTCCTCCTGCTGAGCAGGAAAAGGAACATGATCATGAACAGCAGGAGGAGGGGGGGGAGGGAGGAGGATGGGGGGGAGGGAGGAGGAGGAGGAGGAGGAGGAGGAGGAGGAGGAGGTGGAAAGGCGGAGGCGGGGGGGGGGAGAAGGAGGAGGATGAGGATGAGGAGGAGGAGGCGGTGGAGGACCAGAGTTAACCCAAGACTCATCAATAATGTTGGAATAACTTCTCCCTCTAAGCTCCCTCTTCACAGGCCTCTACAAGGGTGAATTTCCACTGAGGAAACTGCCTCTTGGGAGATCCGTTTGAATAGCCTGAAGCGTGCCAAAACACCTTTCTCGAGATTTCACCGCCACGAATCAACCTGACTGTTGCGTCTTGGCGATCCTGAATTGTGCCAGAACGCCATTCCTGGGACTTCAACAACGCGAATCAACGTAACTGTTGCGCCCGCACAATCCTGAGTCCTCCCACAACACCATTTCTGGTACGCTCACCATGAGAATCCGTGAAACCCTTGCAAATGCTGTAGCCGAGTGTGCGCGGCGCTAATGCGAGAGCCACATTTTGAAGAGGAATCTTTGTACCACGATAATTCGCCACACGTGAGTTGTGTCATTTTGCACACCAGAGGATTTGTTAATCTAGCGCGCGCATGTGCACGTTCGGAGGCCATCCCTGTTTGGTGAGAGTCCCGTTCGGGCCCAAGTTGCCCAGTGCTTATGAGGACGCACTGGGGCGGACAAATCGTGCCCCCCCTGTCCGACGACAGGGTAGCAATGTTCTCTCTCTCTCTCTCTCTTCTCTCCCCTGGCCCCTCTAGCACCAACAATCCCATTAAGTGGGATAACCTGTGGTGTGTAGCAGTAGCAGTAGCAGCAGTAGCATTAGCAGGGAAGATTGGCAGCAGTGCAGCGGGTTGTAGCATCCGTGATCGCATGTCGCGTTTTTTCCCCCGCCACTGCTGTGGCTCAAGTGCTCTCCGCCACAAGGCGAAGAGCGCGAGCGAAACAGAAACCCGACAGCGCTGACGTAAAACAAGTGTCATCTTCTTGCTTTCCTTACTCTTACTTATCTCTTTCACTTACTTCTACTCTCAGTTCCAATACGTCTACGATGGAGGATTCGATTCTACCGTACGGCCCAGTGCACCGCAGATCCCCAGAAAGATCAGGTATCGATATGCCGCTGGCACTCCGGGGGAGTGGCCCCAATCCTGTCCAGGATCAACACACGAGGGTTATGAGCCCAAATCGTATTACGGTACCTGACCCGAACAGGGCAATACTGCACGGCTTCACGATGACATGCCAGGTGTGTCGTACTATGGCCGCCGAGCCCGCCACTTGCTCTAAGTGCGGAATGCTGGGACATCCACAGTGCTTGGGCCTGGAATTCTTCCAGGACTTTCCCTTCTGCGGCGAATGCATCTTCGGCATCATCAAGGAATATTCCGACTACTCTACTCAGGTACGCCGCCAGGAATGGCAGAAGAACTACATCCACCAGCTGGCCTTGTGGAAGGACCGCGCCACGACGGCCATGGGCGCATCTGCGGCGGTGGGCACAGCAATCGGGGGAGCTGCAGCGCTAGTTGTAGGAAGCACGGTTACGCTGGCGAATGGCGTGGTTGCAGGAGCTTTGAATACCTCTGCGGCCGATGACCCCCTCGCCAAGACCAGCATTGTGTGACCAACCAGAGCAACCAGCAGTACTAACACCACCACAAGCACACCCTGAGCCCAGACCCCCCAGACAACGGGCCAGTTCAGTGGGTAGGACGCCCGATGGTGGCGGACATTGTCTGGCCTGCCACACGTCAAACCCAGGCCACACCGCCCACCTACGGAGGGGCGATTGTGTAGGGTTCCCTGGTATGTCTTACTTTGGTAAGAGTCCCAAAGCGGGGACGTCAGCGCTAGGTGAAACGCCGGCTGCGGGATCGGCTCCCGTACCGGCCCTGGCGGGATCGGAGTCCGCATCGTCACACGCGGGATCGGTACCCGCAGTGGCCGCAGCGGGATCGGCACCCGCACGAGGGGAACCACATGGGAAGGAGAGGCTAGGTGATCAGCAAGGGATCGCCAGCGGCGCATCTTTCGTGAGCGCCGAAGACGTTCGACCGTCATCACCGTCTGGGGCAGAGCAGCCGCAGCACCTCGTCGTGCCGACTCCTGAGCTTCACCCTTCTGATCTTCATCTTCAGCAGCATCGCGATCCAACAGTTTAGACCGACGCGTTGCTACGAACACTTATTGACAAGATCGAGAAGTTGGAGCTTGCCGTGTCTCGTTTGGATCATGCGCATACGAGTGCGCAGGCCCGTGCCGATAGCGTCGCGGCCAGGGTAGACCTCGTCGAAGCAGCCGTCAACAGTTGGAACGATCACTCTTGGGAACCAGCACCGGCTGACGAAGATCAGCAATTACGAAACTCTGGGATGTATATTCCTGAGGCCGCACCTCGGTCATATTCTCCTGGAGAGGTGGGATCGGTACCCGCCATCACTGTAGGAGGTTCGACGCTGGACTCGGGATCGGTACCCGGGCTGGCGTTAGCGGGATCGGTGCCCGCAGCGGGATTGGCACCCGCAGTAGTTGAGCAATACTGCCTCGCGGACGGCACCACGCCTCCCAGCGGGGGTACACCTAGGTTGGAGGGCGTGGAGGACAGGAGTTGGTGGACAGATGACAGGTCGCTGACGCCGTCCAATTTTGCTGCCATGGGGCAGTCCAGGATCGGCGGGGGGCCTGCGCAGACCCAGCACCAGGGACTCCCGAGCTTCGGGGGCCAGTCCTCCCATGGATCCCTGAGGCCAGACATGATGTCCCACAGAGCTCTCGGCAATCACGTGCACGCTGAGGGCGCTGGGATCTCATTTGATAACGAAGTAAGGGCAAGGGGAGCTCACGATACAGGTATCGACATCCCCCCTGGACTCGCGCTTGTCTCAAGGACGCTGCCGTCAGCGACGGGCACTGGACCCGCAGCAGCGTCAGGACAAGGCAACGCAGTCCAGGCCGAGAACACGATCCTGGCACATCAGCTCGCGAACATCGGCGGCACCCTCGCCGACGGAGTTGTGCCGAGGAGCTTCGACGATGTGTTCTCATACTTTGAACGCAGTGCCACCCAGGAACCTCCTGGAAACGGTGGCCAACGCCCAGGTGTCGGTCCTCCTGGCGGCTGCGCCGGTTCATCTCCGGATGCCGGTCGAATCGTGGATCGTGAAGTCGCTCGTCAGAGGTCTGAGTTGCATGTGCCAGAGCAAACCCTTTCCACTGCAGAGCTCAACATGATCCTGAAGGCTATACAGTCTTGTGTTGGGGAGTTCCCAGAGATAGCCTTGGGGAGCCTCGCCGAACGAGCTGAGCAGCTACAGAAGTGGCGGTGCGTGGTTGGCCAGGCCCTAGAGGCAGGCGGGCCGCACGTCACCCAATGGTGGGGTTGGTGCTGGCAGGTCGCTCAGGACACCCATGGCGTGCACCTCCAGGCCCCCATCATGAATCGGGAGACTATCCGGGTACAGCCCCGGAACCCCGTGAAGTGGCAGATGCTAGAAACCTGGATCAAGCCTCGCTTGGTCGCTGCGCTGCCTCAGAACCTGAAGAAGCAGTTGACAGAGGGCGGGATGCAGGGTCTCAAGGATGAGGCCCAAGACATCTTGTTTTTGATTCTGAAGACGTGTCGACCAGGAGCTGCAGACGAAAAGTCGGCAGTCCTCAAACAA